GGATACCAAGTAAAACATATACTAATCCAACAATCAAGATTCAACTGGTAAAAAACATCCACCTCAAAAGATTATATCGGTCATTGCAAATCACTGATCATAGCATAACTTAACCGGTTGATATGTTTTTCACCTTGATGACTTTGCCTGCTAGGAAATATCTCGATTAAGCCATATCTTCAGACTTCGGCATTCCCCCAAAGAGTTAGATAAATCACCATAAACTATAGGAGGTTTCTTCCCACAGGAAGAAAGGGAGAGAGAATACGTGTATGAAGAAATTACGATAGCAGGCACCAACGTTCCCCCCAACAGATTTCAAGGGCCAACAGCAATTGCAGAATAACACCCTGCACAATGGGCATGGCATTCGGCCGCACTAACATGCATATTGTCAACAAAGTGGAGGTGCACTGACTTAAATCGAGGCCAGGAAATGAAGAACTGTACAACAACGACATTATTCACAGACATAGGGGCCCATTGGCATCTCCTACCAAGTGTATTATAGATCACAGACCCTCCCAATTGCAATCTTTTTTCAATTTTGATCAAGTTAGTGAGAACCAAGGAATGCGAGAGTAAATGATCAAAATTGAGAGGATCCAAATTCAAGCATTACCAACAGATAATTTTAACTCCAATAGTACCATCAATCTCTCTCTCTCTCTCTCTCTCTCTCTCTCTCTCTCTCTCTAGCACAATAGAGCCAAGCAGAGCATAGCAGTTATCTCCAGCTAGAACTACCACCTTTAGAAATACTACCTTATTTTGTAAAAATCACATGAGCTTCAATAGGCAGGAAGTTGCAAAAAAAAGACTTGGGCAGGGGATCGCTTCATTGCTGGGGAATAGGCCGGTAAGCAGTATTCAACGCTACCAAACCAGGAGAGTCATGGAACTTTTGGTCCCATCCCAAGTAGAGTCAAGTTCTTGCAGTTGTATGCAATCCACATGAAGGATATTGTGCATATACAAGTTAAAAGAGGAAGACAGCACAAG